GCGATTTTTCAAGGGCTTTGTATTTTTTTCACCTCGTAAATCGAGGTATCCTTTCTTTTTTCTGCTAACAAGCGATGTTGATTGAAAATTTGACTGATGAATTGTGTTTACTTCGAAGAAAACACTGAGCTGTGCAGGCCGAGCGAGCGAACTCGTAAGTGACAAATTTATTTGTACCTCTTTAGGTCAGGCAAATCATATGTCTTTAATATAGAGGAAATGAACTTTATATGGAAAACAGCTATCGCATCGGAATGTCTCTTTTTCCAAATCTGAACTCTGACAGACACTCGGACTCGGTCATGTCATTTAGGTTGAAAGTTGAATAACCTTCGTACGGAAAGCAGAGATTTTTCCATTCGAAAAGGTCAGACAACACTAAAAATTCTTCATCGTCAATGAAAGTAGACGTACTCCTTATAAAAAAACATCTTGCATCGTCTTAAAAGACGCCTTTGCGAAAAAACTTTGTTGCGAACAAACATCAGTCTTACTACCTCTACATGTTTGTTTACATTCAGTGTCGTCGTCGTCGACCTACCCGATCGACTGCATCTTAAGTTTCCTTTTTCCCGCCGAAACTGACGTTCTCGTTCCAGTCCTTTCTCAGTCAACAGACGTCGTCGTCGTGAACTTCGTCGTGGTTCTTAAGTTCCCTATTGACAACAGTGACAACAAAGGCAACAGGGAAAACAGCGACAGCAGTGACAACAGTGACAACGGTGACAACGTGACAACAGCGACAAAAGTGACAACGGTGACAAATCAGACAACGGTGACAACGGTGACAACAGTGACAACAATGACAAGAACGGCAACAGTGAAAACAGCGACAACAGTAACAACAGTGACAACCGTGAGAATAGTGACAACATTGACAACAGTGACAACAGTGACAACGGTGAAAACACTGAAAACAGTGACAACAGTGACAACAGTGACAACGGTGAAAACACTGAAAACAGTGACAACGGTGACAACGGTGAGAACGGTGACAACAGTGACAACAGTAAAAACCGTGACAACAGTGACAACAGTGACAACGGTGAAAACAGTGACAACAGCGAAAACGGCGACAAAAGTGAGAACGGTGGCAACGGTGACCACAGCGAAAACAGTGACAACGGTGACAACAGCGAAAACAGTGACAACAGTGACAACGGTGACAACAGTGACAACGGTGGCAACGGTGAATACAGTAACAACGGTGACAACGTTGACAACAGTAACAACGGTGACAACAGTGACAAACGGTGACAACAGTGACAACAGTGAGAACGGTGACAACAGTGACAACTGTGACAACAGTGACAACGGTGACAAATGTGACAACGGTGACAACAGTGACAACGGTGACATCAGTGACAACACTGAGAACTGTCACAACAGTGACAACAGTGACAACAGTGACAACGGTGACAACAGTGGCAACGGTGACAACGGTTAAAACGGTGACTACAGTGACAACATTGAGAAGGGTGACAACAGTGACAACGGTGACAAAAAAGACAACAGTGACAATGGTAACAACAGTGACAACAGTGACAACAGTGACAATGGTGACAACGGTGACAACAGTGACAACTGTTGCAACAGTGACAACAGTGACAACGGTGACAACAGTGACAACGGTGACAACAGTGAAAACAGTGACAACGGTGACAACAGTGAAAACGGTGACAACGGTGACAATAGTGACAACAATGACAACAGCGACAACAAAGGCAACAGTGAAAACAGCGACAAAAGTGACAACAGTGACAACGGTGACAACAGTGACAACAGCGACAAAAGTGACAACAGTGACAACAGTGACAACAGTGACAACGGTGACAAAGGTGACAACAGTGACACCGGTGACAACAGTGACAACAGTGACAACTGTCACTACAGTGACAACAGTGACAACGGTGACAAAAGTGACAACAGTGACAACAGCGACAACGGTGACAACAGTGACAACAGTGACAAAGGTGACAAAGGTGACAAGAGTGACAACGGTGACAACAGTGACAACAGTGACAACGGTGAGAACAGTGACAACAGTGACAACGGTGACAACAGTGACAACAGTGACAACAGTGACAACGGTGACAACGGTGACAACAGTGACAACGGTGACAACAGTGACAACGGTGACAAGAGTGACAACGGTGACAACAGTGACAACGGTGATAATAGTGACAATGGTAAACATGGTGACATCGCTGACAACAGTGACAACAGTGAAAACGGTGACAACCATGACAACAGTGACAACTCTGACAACGGTGACAACAGTGACAACGGTGAAAACAGTGCCAGCAGTGACAACAGTGACAACGGTGACAACGGTGACAACAGTGACAACAGTGACAACAGTGACAACAGTGACAACGGTGACAAAGGTGACAACAGTGACAACGGTGACAACAGTGACAACTGTCACAACAGTGACAACAGTGACAACAGTGACAACGGTGACAAAAGTGACAACAGTGACAACAGCGACAAA